ACCAGCAGCTAGCAGGGGCTAGGAAGACTGGTGGCTTCTGGCTTTTACGCAAGCATAATGTGTGCTAACAGCCAACATGTGTTTCACCAGAAGTTCTTTCTTCCTCTCTCCCACACTTGAAAAAAAAAAAAACAAAAACCCAACCCTAAACCAAACTGCCCATTCATGTTTCAATTCCTTGTGTATTTTTTACAGGCAATTTAGTTTGTCCTGAAGCTTAAGTGAGACTTAAAATGGGGTATTTATCTTATTTTGGAGGAAAAAGTCAACCTTAAAAAAAAAGAACTCTGTTAGAGTTATGGTCAAATAAAGGCTTTAGGATACCTGCTTGATTCCATTGAAGTTGGTGGGAACTGAGAGAGAGCAAGTCTTCATATCTGGCTCAAAAAAATAATTTTAAATAATCAAACTGAAATGCGTAATTATGAGACCAGAGTTTATTTGCTGATGTTTCTTGAATGAATTGGGTAACAAAACTAAACGGAAAGTTTAGTTGTAGTTTATTCTGTGGCCTAGATGAATAAGCAGCGGTTGACTAAAGATGAAAATAGTTGTGCTTAGGATTTCTTTCTGTTTATCTCAGTCTGCATTATTGTCTGATGGGAGTGCCAGTTTAAATGCTTTCAGGGAGAAATCCTTGGAGGAATGGTAGGTCTTTGTTGATACTGATTCAACAATAAATTAGCAATGCAGGTTTAATGGCACTTGTCTATACAAGTGTACTTTTAATTTTTTTTTTTAAAGCAATTACTATTATAAAGAGCCGAATGGTTTTGCTTCTTTTTTGGTAAGCTTTTCAGACTCCTATCTTCTAGACTTCATTGCCCTAAGTGTGTAAGAAGGGTACTTTCTCATCCTGGTGTAACTCTCCACTGTCTACATTTCCTGGTTCTTTAAGTGAGTGTTACGTAGCAGACTCAAGTCCATGGATGTGGCTTATTTCAGTCATTGTAAATGCGGGTTGATCACAGGGAAGTGATGTTCCATTGGTTGTTGTGGTTGGTTCTAGGGAAATATTTAAATTGTCAAGATGCAGAGGATATTACTTGACAGACTTTTTTCCCAACTACTTATGAGTCCAGTTGTGTTAAAGAAATGGATAAACTCCATGTGAGCAGAGCAACTAAAATACTGTATCTGGATTTTTGCAACAAAATAAGTAAAGTGGAAAATTGAAAGAAAAATACCCAGTCACATCAGCACACATAGTGTATGCTGAGACTCATACCAAACAGCTGAAATAACTGCCTGCTATTAAAAGAAATGCTGAAAGTTGGGCTCTACTTTATTTTTGTACCTGGATCTCATTGTTGACCATGTTCAAACTGAGTCCTTCAAGAGTCAGTGAGTATGCGTATCTCTGCTGCCGTGCAAGGGCAGCCTCCTGTCGAGATGGGGTTACTTGCAGGCAGCAGAGCCTTAGCCAGCCCACCTCTCTGGCCTGGTGGCTCTGGTAGAGGCCAGCAGGAAGGGCATATCAATGTTCCTGGTGGAACCACAGCCAGGTGTGCGGACTTGTCTGAATGCTTCTTAAGTCCCAAGCACCCTGCAAAGCCCTGTACAAGTTGATGGGAAGATACATAGTTTGGTGAGGGTGGCTTGGTTCCTGATTAGAAAAGCCTGTGGTGTTGGCAGAGCTACAGATGTTGCTAAGCTTACTGCAGATTGCTTGTCTCTTCTGTATGGAAATCCTTCAGTTGTAACACTGTATTGCATTTCAGCAGCTGTGTATAAATAAGATGCCTAATGCTTAAGTAGCCAAAGTGTGCAGAATGTACTCTAATAAACAGGATTTCTTCAAGTATGGTGTTTGGCAGCAAGCATAGGTTTCTGAATGCCTGTTTAATGTGCCAAAAAAAAAAGGCATTTTGAGATTACTTTGGCTTTATGAATAGTGGTTGCCAATCATTAGGAAATTCTTCCTTGTGGCAGTGGAGATTCTTGAGCTGTAGACTGCTGAAGGGCTGAGATCTTCTTTAATGGAGACTTTTAAACAGAAAAGAGAGATCTGTTATGATTTAAGTGCATTTCTTCATTATCTTTTGAGACTAGGAGGTAAACTAGATGAGGATTTAGCCATCTACGTGTCATACATGACATTAAATATTGCACAGTCTGGAGCTATGTTGAGATGTATTGGACTAGATGATCGGTTGAAGATCCTGTAGAATGCTTGACTTAATAACATGGTCTATAGTACAAATTTTATATCTGTAGACAGTTGGTATACTGTTTGACAAATGCTAATATGTAGTTTTTGTTCTGATACAGTATCTGACTTACTTGGTTAACCAAAAGAATTAAGCAAAACATCAGATTCCCAGTACAAACCTATTTGACCTTCTGAATTAGTGGAACATTTTCATTTCTAAATGAAATGAAAGTCTTTATTTCATTACTGAATTCTATAGGTTTTTCATCTTCAAGTATGGGATTTTTTTCTCTCTGATCTGCTGCTAATTTACAATCTGTGCAATTGAGGGAGGGACCAAGATGTTGAAGTCAACTCTAAACTAAAATTGCCACAGGGTCAGCTACTGAATTGTAACACTTCACACCAAGTTGATCCCATGGTGCTACGTGTTTTTGGAAAGAGTAGTTATTACCTAACTGTATCCAGCTCCACAATATGTGTTTTCTCTAAAGCGCAGTTGAAATTTCATGGAAGCATTCAAAAACACATTGCAGTAATTTGTGTTTCTCTGTACTTGAGATCACATCTTTTTCTTTTCCCCCAGTGACTTCAAAGTTGTGAAGTTGGGTCTTCATAGTCTTAATTTTGCTGCCATCAATTCTAATTAGACTTGAGTCTGTGACGTGAGGAAGACATCAGTGATGATGAGCTCTTACACAAAGATCTTTGTTTTATTGTTTATAACTGTTGATTAAAAAAAGCAGTAATTGTTTCCAAGTACAATGTTCTAGAAGTTTTTCATGATGTGTCAGTTGCTCTTCAGTCAAATCTGTGTGTTACCCAAGGGGATACTTTTTGAAACATACATTTTACTAGTGTAAGCAGCCCCTTTCCCTAACCCTTAAACTGAGAGGTGTTTCTGAAACTGAATCCTGTTTCTTTACTTCTGGACAGTGTTTATTGGAGAAAAATAAATTTCTTGCATTAACTAGAAACATCCCCCTCTATCTTTTAAGATGTTCCCTTAAGATAGTTTTCAGAAAAAGACTGCACCATTGTGTTATGAAGATGCATCAAGAGCAGTGCTATAGATTTAAAACAAGGTTTTCTTTCCTCAGGGGATAAACCTGGCCATATATATATATATATATATATCTATATATATCTGTAATGTTTAAATAAAGAAATGCCCTGATAATAAAGGGCACATGCAATCTGAAAACTGGAGCAAACGCCTATGCTAATAGATGCTTCCATGCATGTGTTTGTGGGAACTGCTGATTCTGGATGCTTTGAATTTTATGGAAAAGATTTTAGACCATCAGAGATGTGTTTGCATAGTTCTTCCACAACGAGAACTAATTTCTTCTTTGTGTTTTAATTTTGTTTAATTCAACCCTGTTGAACAACTTGGCTAGAATGCAAGCTACATTTTTGAGTGCCTTCTGGCAGTTTTCTGTTAAATGACATCCTTAATACATCCAGTTATATGATACAGCCTCTTGTCAGGTTAATTAATATTACAGCTGGATCTAGTTAGTTACTTTGCAAATTTCAAATGATACTCTTAGTTTAGAAAATGAACTTAAAGCCAGGGTAAATGGTAAGTCCTGATTACAGGGCATTCAAGTTATGCCACCCTCTGATTTCTGTCTAATTCATGTCCATCTTGCTTAAATAGTAAGCTCACCAGAATTTTGCATCTGTATTTTGTCATCTAGTGATAAACAACATTCTACAGCACAGTAAATGCTTTCATTTTCCAGTAAGATGAAACAGTACATTTAGCAATAGAAAGATATTTCTAATAAAAAAGACTTGGAAATGTTGTTTAAAATTTTCAGCTCTAAAATAGTTTCCGGAGTTATGCAGGATTCGTTGCACTCTGAAATTATTCCTGTTATCTAATCCTGCATCTATAAATACATTTTTACATGAATTGTATTTATTTAAAAGCAATGATTGTTTTATCATTAAAGTTTTAAAAGTTTGGTTTGAATTTTTGTGTTCTATTGGAAGAGATATCAAAAAATGGCTTCCTAATTATTATTTGTTGAAGTTCTGTATTTATGCTCCATTTGGGGAATTAGAAGTTGCCTGGCAAACTTGATTCTGGAAGCAGCAGAGACCATAACTTCACAGTCTGAGACTAGATCTCTACAGCAGGTTGGGTAATAGAGGCTTAAAATGTTCTGAGAAGTGACTTGGATGTGTGCCGTGATAAAGCAGCATATTACAGTCAGTGTTGCTTTCACTTTTACCCAGACCTTTTTGACTCCAAAAGAAAAAAGTCATTCCCATGCATGAATCCAAACACACAAAAGGGAGAAATTCAGGCAAAACTTGCTTAGTAAGGGGGTAAAGAGTGTTGCCTTGTAGTCATAGAAGAAAACGGTGAATCCTGGAATCTGTGCTACTACTGCCTGTCAGTGACTGAACTATGGCTTTGTTTGTATGTTGCCTGACATTGATACACACATTTTCTATATAGGTGGGGTATATTCCAGGTTTACCAAATTTAATGGCATGAGTCATAGTATATACATACAAGAGAGTGCAAGTGAAGGCACAGTGCCTGCTTGCTGATAAGATATTAAAAGGGTTTAATATCCCAGAAACAGCGCGATGTAGTATTGTACAAAATAGACTACTAGCAAGTATCTTGCTCTTCCCATGTGTATTGGGGTAGTGGTTATTTTTGAAAGAGCACCTGATGTTTGAACAGTGGTATTTAAAGATCATATAATGATGCTGAACGGAGGAACATAAATGGTATGATTCGTTAGGTCGTTGCCATTTGTTTCAAACTAAAGCACTGTCAGCCATGACTGGAGTGGACAAATAATGAGTCTTCCTCTGTTCACAGCTATATGCCAGCCAGGATGCAAACATGGTGATTGTGTTGGGCCAAACAAGTGTAAGTGCCACCCGGGATACACTGGAAAAACCTGCAACCAAGGTAAGAAAATGATGTCCAAGAAAGAGTTTTGAATATGTACTAATTATTTTAACAATATCAACAGGATGCTGTAAAAATTGCTGGAAGCTATGGTCTTGAACTAAACTCTTTGCTTTCCACTAAATGATAAGGAGGGAAAAGAACATGGTGATAAATGATTAAAGGAAGCCTTTTAGGCACTGTTGATCAAATATGCTTGCATGGTAGTGGTGGCAAAGTTGCCCTAGTAGATGTGCATGAAGTTTCTGAGGTGCCTGCTGACTGTGGTGTCCCAAATATACATCAGTTCAGGTGGCTATGGCCTATAGCTCTTATATTATCTAGTGAGACCTTTGAGCTGTGCCTGGGGTCAGGGTATGTGTTCTTGCTGTGTGCCAGTTCCATGTTAGGATGAGACCTGAAAGTGCAGTAATGGATGCAGAATTTGCTCTTTCCGGGGGGAAGTTCAAATTGCACATGGTAAGCATGACCTATGTTGTTATGTTGTACCTATTCTGTTCAGTCCATGGGCCATTTCTGTTCTAGAATAATAATTAGCAATAAGAGAAAGTAATGGTGTTGGCAGAGGAAATGTTGGAGTTTCCCTGCAGACATGTGAGGCTTTCTAAGCTGTGTGAATGGCGCTGGGCTGTGAAGTATGCTCACGTTCTTGGTGAAATGCATTCATAGAGTGCAAGCACTGATGAACAAGCTTTACATCTCATCTGTTCATGGGCCTCATGGATCAAGCTGTATTCCAGGGGTCAATCCAAGAGAAGAACCCAGCCTCACAGAACTGTTGAGCCCTAATGGTGATGATGCTGCTGTGGCAATCTAGACCTCCCTTTAGGTCACTCAGAAGTTAGCATTTGAGATTTTCATACATACATATATATATATATTTTATTGAGGACGGGGTGAGGATTTTTTTGTTTGATTGTTTTTTTTCCTTCTTAATGGTGAAATACTGCATATTACAAAGATCTGGTAATTTCATTTTTATTATGCCTTCTTCCCATCCTGTAAAGATGAGCAGCTGTATACAAGTCCACCTGGTCACAGCAGTGAGGCACGTCTGTTCCACCCCCTGGATCACGATGCAAGAAATATAGGATCAAGGGGTGAGATGGTGCTGTATTTCAGGCGGCGTGCTCCTTCTACCTGCACGGCTTGAGACACTAGTACAATTTCTTGCAAAGGGGTTGGACGCTAATAAACCGATGGCTGTGATGCAGAAGCTGAACCTGTAGCGTCATTGGCATGCAGAGCAAATAACTGTATTTCCTTGATGCTGTGTGCCTGTGTTCTGCAAAGGCTTGACTCTCCACCATACTCGTGGTTGTAACTTGCTTTTGTTTCTCTCTTCTGCTCTTCTTTCAGGGGCTGTACTTTTTGGTTTTTTTTTGAGTTCCTCTGTAAAGAGAGAGTGATGGAGATTGTTTGTCAGGTTAGATAAACACAAAGCTGTGATTTACATAAAGCTGGAAGTTGAAGAAACAAGGTTTGTTAACCTCTGCATTTGGCAGCTGTTGATTAAGCAGACTAAATGATGTGAACAAAACTCTCTCAGGGTGATACAAGTCTCTCAAAAGTTTGACATGGTAGTGTAATGATAGTCACTGGAAATGAAAGCCATACTGTTTATAGTATGGTGATAACAGTTCAATTTTTTAACTTGGTTTTTCATACCCGTTTTTCTATTTTCAAAGTCTGAGTGAGTTTCATATTGAACATTTGACTTCTATGTTGTCCAATCCAAGTTAGCTAGGCAGAAAAGAAGAAAAGATCCAAGTGCTGGAGTCTTCTGCAGAAACTAATTAAAGAAGACAGCTGAGTGTATTGCATCTTCCTAAGAATAAGCCCCCCATTGTTAGGTGTGCACTGAAGTCACTCATTATCAGAGATCATGTGTGGTGCCACACAGTAGTCAAAGAAGTCGCATCGAAATTTGCCAGCACAGCAGTCTTGTCCTTTCTCTGCATTCACATTTTCATTTAATTTCTTTAAAACTAAAATACTTGTGCTCAGCAGCATGCACTTATGCTGTAGACCTGCTTTCCATAGTGCCCACAACAGTCAGGTTACTTTTATGTACTGTCTTATGCTGGTTTTGCATTGACTGTAAACCTGTGGGCAACATGGGAATTTAAGTGGCTGAACGATAAAATTCTCAAATGTGGTACAGTGAGTGGACATTCCTGCAAGGAAATTAAATGATTTGGTTAAACTTCTACTAGTGCTGGGCCTTATATTTTAATTTCCAGTGTGAAGATGAGGGACTTAAAAGTTGTATTTTATTTAAGAGAAAAATGATGTAAAAATGTTATTACCCTTTGAGTGTATACATTTTAGATTTCAGGGTTTTTTTGAGGCAACTTCTGTTCTTTTCTTATTTCCTCTTTTGGCAGACAGACATTTATACTGAGGTGTCTTTATAGACATTGCTTGAAATACCTAATTGATAAGTGAACAGAGTGTTCAAGAGGTATGTTGCTACGGCTCATTTTTTTGACGGCTAACATTAGCCTGAACCTGTTCTTGAAAAAACAGACCTTACTTAAGGTATGGGAAACACACAAACTAATAGAGTACATACACAGCAGGAATGTTTCAGCACTCCCCCAGTCCACATGCAGTGCATCCTGATTCTTAGGGAAGCACGCTGTTAAAGATTATGGGTGCATGGGGGTGGATCAAGAGAGCTGTCAGCATTTTCATACAGGCCTTTACATAGAACTGGTAGGACCTAATCATACAATGTGCCTCCTAGGAAACTGAGTGATACTTGTCATGCAGTTTCCAAGTATGTACCTATCTGTGCTGGTGAAAAGAAGAAAAATTGCATTTTGGGGAAAATAAGATGGGCTGAGCAGTATGCTCTTAACACACCTATTTGCAGGCTGGCTTCTCTTTTAAGCAGCCACAGCACTGCCAGTATTTGTTTTCCTAAACAGTAGCATTCATTTCACTCTGTAAGGTTAAAACCAGCATTCTCTCAATAGCTCATTTCAAAGGCAAAATTGAAAACCCATGACCCACGAGGTTTAGGTTTAAGTGGTGTTGTGCTAACAGCCTATTTCTGCTGCCTTGCGACCTCAGCTTTCCGTTACCTCAGCCAAGGTTAAAACTTTTTGACTTTTTCATGGCACAGGCGTTTTATTTTCAGCATGTTTTTGAAGATGTGAATCAGAGTCAAAAGCTGAGGTAACGGCATTTGTTCGCAGGCAGAAATAGAATGAAACGAAGGCAATAGAAATAATTCAGTCAAAATGCCATGAACAGAAAGCATGTAATGAGGTATCCTGATACTCTTTAATATCAGGTTATTTTCAGAATATGTTACTAATAGGTGTCTATTTGTCAGTTCCACAGCTTTCATTTCTGTACTAAGAATATTTCATACCAGATGGTGGTGTAGTATCCAGAGTTCTATAGAAAGACCCAATTATTTAAGGCTCATAATGCAATCTATACTATATGCAAGACAGCACATTGAGAACAGTCATAAATTCTTATCAGTGTCAACTTTGGATCTGTGATTGTGGCTCTGGAAATAAGCACAAGACAGTTCTTAAGGGTAAAGTCTTCAAGAGTATCTAAACTTAGGAGCTTACATGCAGTGGGATATAAGCACTAGAAATTAGCCCAGGCACTGTTAAATTCCTGCTCTGTCAGTCCCTTTCCTCACTCTGTCCCTGCTTTTAGTTAAGTATTTTATACTTAGCTCTGTTACACATTTAGTTTGTAAAGTATCACTTGGTGAGAAAGTGCTTAACAGTGGAGATGGCTCTCTGGAAAATTCCTGGAAGTAACAGAGACTCCCTTACTGTAACAGACCTCCAGACTGCATTGTGCAATATTGGAGATGAGGGGTGGTAAAGCAGTTGTTTAAGTACTTGCTGGCTGGATTTATAAGCAGATTTATTATTTTCACCTCTTTTGGCATCTTTACTCATCAGCACACAAATAACAGCATACAAGTAACAAATTATTCTGGTTTATTTAGAGAAACCCAGCATGTATTCTTGGAAGAGAATTCTGAAGGAAATCCTCACTCAATCTTTACTTCTTGTTAGAAGCCTTGTCTACTAATAGGAAAATTGTAGGCTGAATATTTTCAATTTAAGTTGTGAACTCTGTATTAAATTGTAATAGCCTCCTTGACAAATATCATTGATACCAGGTGGTTTTTTTCAGTATCTTCTTGATGGTAAGGAATAAATTTTCGCTGTAAGATCATTTAAAGGAGGTTAGCATCAGCTTTCCTACCTTCCTCTGCGACTAATTTTGAAACATGATAGAGAATCACTGAAGCACTATCAGAGTCACTGATAGTGATTGCGGCAGTGACATTTGCTTTCTCCTTCCTCTTTTTCACAGTTCTGTCTGGTCCTGAACATGGCATCAATGTAAATAGTGGCAAGATGCTGGCAGCCTGAGCTTGCGCGTTCCTTAATGACACTTCTGTTGGTGTTTAATCTAATGCATATACTGCCATTTTTTAAAGGGTATCTGTGAAATAGAAAATACACTACTTAGCAGGAGGGCTGCAAAGTGCTTCTTGCAGGATGTTCTGGACACTTACTACCAGATGGACTGCATATAAAAAGCTCATTGCCATGTTTTTAATTCTTTCCTCAGGAATTTGAACTAGTAGTTTTGTCACACATACTTTGTATGTTTTCTTTTCCCACCCTTCCCCTTGTACCCTTCATTTTAGATCTAAATGAGTGTGGACTAAAGCCACGGCCGTGCAAACACCGGTGTATGAATACCTACGGCAGCTACAAGTGCTACTGTCTGAACGGCTACATGCTTATGCCAGATGGAACGTGCTCGAGTACGGCAAGGCTTGTTGCTTGCTTTTTTCCGAGCTCCTCAAGACCCCTGCTTGAGTTTCCCTGGGAAACTTTTATGAAATGAAGATGAGTAAAAGACTAATCTTGCTGGAAATTAGGTGGTTGCACAAGATGAACCTCTTTTTTTTTTTTTCTAATGAAATTAGGCTGAACAAAACAAGAGCAAATATTTTGATTTTATTAGTTTTATTACAAGTTTCCCCAGCAGCATTCTTCCGGGTGTAGTATTAGTGCTGTAAATCATGTTAATTGGCCTTCAGGGACAAGTGCTTGCAGTTTTCATTGCGGCAAGACATCTGCAGCTCTGCTGTACTATGCTCTTATGAATGTAAAATTATTAAAGCTGCAGATGTTGGTTGTTTGACTATAATATTATACTATCGTCTCACTGGAGATCAGGTTCCTACTTGCTCCCATGAAAGTGGATATTTTGAGTGTTTGGACAGAGAGAAGGGGAGGGAAATTATTTTTCGGTAGGAATACTCTTATTTTAAAATGGCAGTGTGGTCCAGGAGGCTTCATGTTCCTTATGGGGGATGCATTCCATGAGGAATATGCTACAATTGTGGTGATTTTATTAATTTTATTTCTTCCCCCTAGAGATGCAATTTGTGGGAAGTAGAAATTTACTAAGTATGTGTTTGCTCTTTAGAGCCCAAACGGATACCTGTTACATTCAACAAGCATTTTCCCACTTCTGTCGTAATTAAACGATGTCTTAATTCTCCAGAGTTTTCAGTCATTTTCTGGTACTGATCAGAGCCCTTATCTAAATACATTTTCCCCCAGATGCCCTTTCTTGCTTGATGGCAAACTGTCAGTATGGCTGTGATGTGCTGAAAGGGGAAGTGCGCTGCCGCTGTCCATCTCCAGGACTACAGCTAGGGCCTGATGGCAGGACTTGCATAGGTAGGTGATCTAATGTAGATTAACTTTCTTTTTTTTCTCCAGAATGTTTTTATCCTTACACTGAATGCAGTTCAAGAGAGTTTATCAGATAAATATATTTAGCATGCATCATACATGCAGTTTAAAGATACTATTAATGAGAACTGGGACAGGTATGTTGCTCAGGTGCTCTCAGGTGGTCTGTGTCAGGGATCACCAGTGCTTGCCTACAGTTCTACAAGTTTCACTGACTGCTTAAAACCCACACAGGCTGCTTGGTATCCAAGCTGTCGGCCCTTACCACTCTTATCACTGGGTCATTTTAAACTGTTTCTAACAGAGACTCCAAAATACCAGCCTGCATTAAAAAAAAAAGAGGAATGGGGAGGTCATTTCTCCCTCATACCCAACAGGGTGGTGCCTAGGCTCAGGGAGTGGACGGATTTGTGTTAATCATTGAGATTATTCTTGGATAAGGTGAAGGTCCATGCGCACTCCCAGTATGAATGGGATTGAAGCTGCTGTCTTTCTTCCGTACTGTGAAAACTCCAGATTAAAATAAACTCAGGAATTCAGACTGTCTGAAAGTGAAATGTTTTGTTCCCACGTTCATGAACATGGAAAAGGTGTTTATGATTAATCAGAGTGTATTGCGCCACACTGTACTATGGTCTGAAGAACGGTGTGATGTGATTTAATTAGTCATTAACTATACATCGTTGAGTGAATATGATGCTCCAGTGATTTTATTATTTATATCTTATGCAGTTCTACAGTTCCATAGCCAGTAACAACATTTGGACTGAAAGAATATAAGAGAATGTGGATGCCCTAATCATCTATGTCGATATCATGGCTGTCTATAGGGGAGGTGGTGGTTCGCCAAGTGGCTGATGCATGCTGACCAAGAATTTGTTGGCAGAGCAAGGGACCAGTTCTAGATCTTCTGATGTTAGGAGCAGGTTCAGCTCTAAGTCAGAGGCTTTCTGAAGTGCATGTTTGGCACGTCTGTCTATGCAAAAGAAAGGGATAAACAGGAGAAAAAAACCATCATTGTAACATGCTGAAGGGATAGAATTGTGGTTAATCACTGTACACATTATGGCAGAGATTTTTGAAGAGGCCATAGCGAGATGAATGATTTAACTACAAACTCGAGGAAATTATATCAAGTACAGGAATTTACCAGAAAAATACTTGCAAGATCCTTTTTCTCATTTTTATATTCAGGCTAACTTCATACTTTGAAATAAAGTGTGCTTTCAGTGCTGAAGACTGCCACTCAAACCAGTCATGTGAAGCTCTTTCATTTCTTCAGTGTAGTTTTTAAAAGAATACTTTTTTTCCCCCAGAAAGGTGAAGAACCAGTGTATCCACATTTAGTTGGGTGTGCATCATTCAGATTGAGCGCATAAACTTGTTTTTAAAAGTTCCAAAAAAAGCTTCAGAGCAGCTTTGTACAAGGCAGAGAAAGTAGTCACAGCAAGAGATGTCTGACTGCTCTTCACGGGTCATAACATGATCTACTCCCCTTTTTTGGTAAGAAGCCACCATGACATGCTCCCTTTTTGTTCTCTCTCAAGTTTGAGTTGTAGTAAATACCACCAGGAGTTGAAGCTATCTGGGACTATTAACTGTGCCTTTTCCTCACATATGTACAAGCCCATCCCTGTTGGGGAGGTTGTCAGCTCCAGCGAGGATCTGGCTATTGCTGCAATATAAACAGAAGTGTAGATGATGGTAAAAAACCTGAAGTATGCATTGGCTGCAGCTCATAAAATCCTTGTTTGAGGAGAGTCTGAAAGACAGCTGGGAATGCAATGCTTATTTTTAGCACAGGTGGAAATTCCTCTAGGCATTATTCTATTCTTAGTTTAACCCGTGCTGATCTTTCTCTTGTTGACATGTTCCCTCGAGACAATCAGTAAAAAGCCACAAAACAACATAACTATGAAGGTAAGTCATATAAACTAAGTAATTAATTGAAAAATAATCCAGCGAAGTGTTGATTTAAGAAAATGGATTAACTGACTAATTGACACTTGAATCAACAAATCAGTCAGTGTTGTCAGCTTTTTGGATTGGGATTTTCATTTAATGAAATTAAGCAGTTTACACATTTTCAGAAGGTCTGAGATTATCTGAGGACTGAAAATAATTATTTTTACTGTAAAATAAATTCTTACTAGTTGTTTTGTTGGTGTAAAGACAAAAATATGGCTTTAAATTACTATATTAAAATCAATCTCATAGTTGTTTAATATTAGTGTTGGTAATATGGTCATAGTCACAGCAAAAGAGAAGCAAGACTTTGCAATTTGGCTTCTTTGTTGAACACTGACCATCACATCATTAGGTGCTGCCTGTATTATGTGCCTTTGGAATGGTTCCCTGGCTCTAAGTCTGGGCGTGCACGTCTGTGGTAGACCAGGCTGAGATGATGAGAATACAAATCACTCCTTCATGCCCTGGTTTTCTTAGGAAGCAGGTACGAGCCACAGCATGTTGCAGCAGACAAAACAGCCTTACACCATTTGTGTCCAGGTGTGAACTGGCATGGGTCCATTGACTTGAAAGAAGCTACAGTCACTGTATCTGAGAGTATCTGAGTATCTGAGAACTGCAGGAGACCAATTTGTAAACACTTGAATACCATCTTCTAGCTAATGATTGAAAAGTTTTTTTTTCCACTAGTAACGAGCATCCACACACCTCTCATAATAAATACAAGTGGTAGACTGTTCTGTTTTCCACTATTTTTTGTGTCAGTTTTCAACAGTGTATTGGTTAGCTGTTCAGCCTTGTATCTTTAGGATGTGTAACTGCTGAGAAAATTAAACAGTACCGCTAAAGTGCTCTTAGCATCTAACATACCTCTTGCCCTATGGGAATTTGCAGAAGCGTGAGTATGTACAGAGGGAAGACAGACAAGCTACATTTGGTTTGAAAGAACATAATCCCTGCCATGATGAGGTCTATTCAGCAGCTAATCTTTTTCTTACTAGATTGTTTTTGAACCTGTGGTTTAAAGAAAACAAAAGCCCCAACAAAGAACCCCAACTAAACAGTAATCACGAGTCTGAAATTTGCAGCCTTGAAGTAACATTTTAATAAAGGGTAGAAAATCGTGGCTTGTAAATCAAATGGCACTGAGAAACATCGTAGGATTTGTACAACTTAATAATGTACTCGAAGACTAAACCGTTAATAATAAATTCAAATCAAGAGGCAGTTTTATAGGGACATTCAGGCATGTGGAGAGATGCCCAGTATTGGCCTTGTTTTCTTTCTCATTCAGGCCTCTACCACAGCATTGCAGAAGTACTCTCTATGGAGAGTAAAGGAGAGCTACTATGTCAAAGCACCCTGCTAGGCCAGGAGCATGGGAGCTCAGGGAATAAATCCTTGCTGTACTCTGTAATTCTTCATGAAAAGTGGGACAGTGCCAGCAGGAGCCACTGGGCGAGCCCATCTAGCCAGTGATTCATGGCTTTAGGTCACTTCTCTTGGCTGTGGGAAACACAGCTTTGGAAATTTTGAAGCTACATCTCCCCTGTCTTGAGTAGCTACCCCTAAGCAACTGGCAGGTTTGTGGTAATGTTTTTTTCTCTGCAGTGAAAGAAACTCAGGCTTCTCTCTGCTTTGTTCAGGCCTCTTAAACAAGTAGCAGGGCATCAATCACTCAGCTTTGTTTTGCACTCTTGACACCTGCAGCTGAAGTGCTCCTTTTGGGAAAAGAATTGCATGGAGAAAACCTTGCTTCCGCATAGATCAAGAGCCTGATAGAGCTGCAGAGCAAAAGCTTGAACTGTGCCCTGTAGATAACCAACAGATGTCAGGAATGGCATGCGTCAGAGGCAGCCGTGCATGTCAGGTCTCTGCCTCAGTGAAGAATTAGAATTTAAGCACTCAGCAGGCTTCAGCTCAATGTACAAGCGTTACAAAGTGAGTGGTAGCTCAAGCAGCTTTTGTCTATCAGCCTGACCTCATCTGAGAGTTTCCTAGATGGTGAAAGCAGCACTTGGTGAGCATCAGCTGTTCTGTGGGCCTCTGCTTGGCTTGTTAGTCAGCATGAAGAGCAGCGGCTTCTGGGAGATGAAGGGCACCAAACTTTTACTGAGCATCACCTGTGTCTTCCCACTCCTCTGTCCTTGCCTGGACGTTGCTTGCTGAAGCACTGCTTCAGGTCCTGCTGGGACCCACTGACAGGGCGAAGGGGAGCTATGTATCTCAGCACCTCAGAGAGGTATTAAGGTCACTTAGCCAACTTCTCTGTGAGAGAGGGGTCCACTACAGCTCAGGCAGTGTGCAGGGTAAGAGATTGCAAAAAGCATGTACTCAAAAAGCATTTTGCCTGTGGCAGGTAATTGGTAGGAGACTCAGAAATACTGCACCCCTGGCGTTAGTTTGAACTCTCTGTTTAGAGCAAGTCCTGAGCAGATGAAGATTTCCTGATAGGCAGGTCATGGATTACGGACACCTGAGATTTTAAAAACACGAACAACTTCCTGCTGCAGGGTGATGTACTTTGAATATGCCTGTATGATCTGTGCAACAGGAACAATATTCCAGGCATGTTTCAGAAAATGAATTACTGGGGTAGTTATTATTCCTTGCCTGTAAATCCAGGTGCTGCCTTTATAACTGGGCAGGGCTTGGTGGGACAAAAGAAAGCTATAGAAATAAAAAAAAATAGCTTTTCTTCAGACAAATACCATAAAAGTTTCAAGGAAGAGTGTTTAGAGGCTTTGAAGAAGCTTTTGTGCATTCTGTGGGGAATTGGAGAATGCCTCCTCTCCAAGGAGAAGTGTACCAAGATGGCAAGAACATAGAGCAAGCATTCCAAATTCAGTAGCAATGCTTGTTATACCAGTGTATCTCTTGTCACTCACAGTATTTGTAAAGGCTTGTGGCACTGGAGGCATAAAAATTTGAGCATGTGACCAAGAGCTAAACTGAGATGGCACAGCCAGAGGAAGTGGTGAGATATCCCTGCTGGCTGGCCACTGTGTAGCCAAAAAGACCTTATAAAAAATACTTCGCCTATTCTTTAGGTTTTCATTATGTGAAACCAGTTTAATTTAGACAGTATAGATTGTACTTTTACTGCTATTAAAAATAATTCAGTTCCTTTCTTTCCACAGATATTGATGAATGTGCTACTGGGAGAGTCATCTGTCCACAATTTAGGCACTGTGTCAATACTTTTGGAAGCTACATTTGCAGGTGTTATAAAGGCTTTGATCTAATGTACATCGGAGGCAAATACCAATGCCATGGTACTCACAACTTATTATGTGCATGTAATAGAGCTGCATATTCTAAACTGAAATAGAATGTTTACTTACTATGTTTGAAATGTTGAAGCAGGTTGTTTTAGTTTGCATTGCACCTTATTTTAGGAATGGGTGGATTATAGAAATAGTCCATGAAACAGAAAGCATGTATTTGGCCTGTGTATTCTTGTAACTGGTTCTCCTGTGGAAACTAGTGGGAGAGCAGAGCTGATGACCTCAGGAATTCCTTTCCAAAGGCTTTGTCCCCTCAAGTTTCACTGTGCACAGGCAGTTCTGGGTCTGAAGCAGCGTATGAGCTTAGGCTATGTCTAGGTATGTACACTGTTAACATGCCCCAAGATCTAAGATAAGATGAGGTGGCTAGAGCAGAACCCACCTCCTTCCAAACCTGGCTGCCCAACTTTCATTCCCCTGAACACAGGTGGGGAAGAGGCAGGGGCTGGGAAACAACCTGTCTTTGGACATGAGACTGGAATGCAGTTGGTGTATGACCTTCAACAAAGATGTTCCTAGATCCCATTGTCTTAGTTACCCAGTGCCTCAACTGGTTATGATCCTTTCACTGAAAAAAAGATTGTGTGGAGACAATGAGGCATTGCTTTATGTTTGTTTAAATTTATTTTTTCAAGAGAAATCTCAGTGCAGAGGACTGGAATTTGGGGATTTTGCTTTCATCACCAACAACAAACATGGAAATGCCATATGAGATATTTCCAGTAGTTTCTACTTGATGTAGAAATATCTGCACAGATGTAAAAAGAGGAAGCATTTAATGAAAAAACAGTTTGATGCCTGTGTGATTAAGAACATACAAATTCTTATACTCAGTTTTTCTATGTCACCTGTAAAGTGTTTATTAAAATCATGATCTTCATGATCTCAACTGCAGTCTACCCACATAACTGAAACTGATGCTTAGATATAAGCTGAGCAATGCCAGAGTTGCACAATAGTCCCTTTTACCCTCACATTTGTATCACCACATTGGTTTGTGACGGTCTTCCTTTTCCCACTGGCAATTCAGTTTTATTAAACTTCTCAAAAGTAATACTATATTCCTAATGACCATACTACTGTCTGTGTTTCTGCAGGGGAAGTCAAGTTTCTTTGATGTAGATGATTTTGTATATAACTTTCTGTTGCAGATATAGATGAATGTTCCCTTGGCCTCCATCAGTGTGGTAGTTTTTCACGATGTTACAATATCCCAGGATCCTACAAATGCAAGTGTAAAGAAGGGTACAGAGACAACGGAACAAGCTGCATACGTACGTAATGCTCCTTTGAAAAGAAAGGAATTCTGAGAGTAAATGTGTCCCATGTTGTAATTCTTGAGATACAGCGCTATCAGGCTCAGTTTCTCTTAACTATTCTTAATACTTGATAAGGGGCCAGGGAATGTAGTCAGGGTTTTCTGAGTCTTAGCATGCTGTGTTAAAAATACCTTTCCCTGAGACATTTTCATAATTAGAAAGAAATTAACCTCTCCCTGTTCACAGCTGGATTCTAGAGATTGCTTCAGGATGAGAGCAACTGGGTAAGCAGGGTAGGTCTGGTCAAACAGTACATATTACTCATACTTTGTTGTTAGGTGCACTCTGCAACTGGCCCATTTCAGCTGCTCACTCCATCCACACCTCATTGCTCCCCAGATGTGAGCAGAGCTGAGAGGGAGGATTTCTCTGGATGAATTCCCTGTTGGAAAATTCCCTTCCTCACCTTTCTCTTGGGAGAAGCAACCACCCCTTTTGTACAGCTCCCCCACATTTGATATCCCTCCAGACTGTGCAGCTCTATGATATCTGCTTAATCTTTTTGAGAACCCTGGGTTCATACCAGGGTTTTGGTCTTTGGTGACTCACTGATCTCTTTGAAGAGCAGTACCACTGCAGACTTGTTTCTTTTAGCTATAGCTGTGTTATGGTGATGTGTTCTGGCTAAGGTGATTTTTCCCAACCTGAGTGCTTGCAATCGTATGTGGAGACACTTCACATGTGTTACTGGACGCAATCTCAAGATGCATTTTATATTTTAATGTACCATAATGTAAAACCTGCAGGGTATTCAAAAGAATGGTAATAAACAGGTGGCCAGAGAGAAAACCTTTTAACCTGCTATCATCAAACAATTAATCGTTCACAAACAGTATTTCATCATTTTAGCTGTGGGTTATACTTGAAACACTTGTACACAAAATACGTGACTGGAGTTCTTACTGGGGCTTTTAAGATCTCCGGTGAGGCATAAAGGCTTATAAGCAAATAGAAAATGATAAATAACAAAACAGATGTTCTTGTGTTTCATGTCTGCAGAAACTGCTCTTGTGAAACCAAGTTAAAATTTTTTGTCCTTTCTTTATGAAACGCTGGTGAGATGGTACTTTAGGCATTGTCACTGCTGTGTAGGTTGTATTCAGTTCACCTCTGCTTTGTGGAGGTTAAAAAAGTGTCATTTACTTAGTCTCCTGGTGTTTGGCAAATGGAAGGATCTAAATGAAGGCTATTGGGTTAGGTTTAATCTCTGTAAAATGATTAATGCTTACTGACAAGGAGAAAAGTTTAGAAGAGGTGGGGGGATCTGAAAGATAACTTTCTTAAGCCAAACCTATGCCCATCCATGACTGAAGTAGTTGTAACACTGGAGTCTTACTAAACTTGCCTCTGCTCCTGAGTACAAACTTGTCCAGTTTAGAGGGCTGCCTAAGACACATCTTCCTGTCCATGCGTTTTTACTAACAGTGCTTCTGGGTAAGTTTTGCCAACATTTCCAGAGAGTTGATGCTTGGGAGGAGGTGGGGATGGCTTTCAGCCATTCTAAATCATCCTAAACTGGTGTAATGAGAAGTGCTTTCTAAACAGATGTGATAATTCAGCAGTGCTGATGCCAAAGTATGTTTCTAAGTAGTGGAAACATTCAGAAGAAGAGAAATTATTTCAGCAAAGACTCTTGTGTCATAATGAAACATATTGCTGAGTTTCCAAAGCGAGAGACTCAGATGTCCATTTTGGTCCCATTTTGATTCTTTTTGCAGTTATTCCTAATGTTATGATTGAACCACTTGATCCATATCATATAATCAAGGGCAACAGCACGCTCCCTAAGGGAGACAGTGGTATAACCAATAGGATTCCTGATGTTGGAGGCACAAGGCAACCCCTCAGACCACCATATGTACCTGCTGTTGTTACAGAAAGACCGGTGATTAGACCGACTCGACCTACACCCCGGCCAACGACTCGACCTACACCCCGGCCAACGACTCGACCTACACCCCGGCCAACGACTCGACCTACACCCAGGCCAACGACTCGACCTACGCCCAGGCCAACGACTCGACCTACACCCAGGCCAACGACTCGACCTACACCCCGGCCAATGACTCGACCTACACCCAGGCCAACGACTCAGCTGACAGCAAGGCCAACCACTAGGTATGTGCCGGTGACAACAAGGCCAGTGACAAGGCCTCCACCTCCAACAGCACCTCAACCTCCAACATCAAGACCTACACTACCAGCACAAACAACTCCCTTGATAACAGCTGAAGAGCCTTCACATATTCCCATTGAAACTACATCTTCCCAAGGAATTACAGATGATAACAGGATCCAGGTAGATCCCCAGAAACCCCGAGGAGATGTGTTCAGTAAGTAATTTTACATATCCTTTCATTTATCATAATTGTAGATGAGGTGAGGTGAAAGCATGCATATACTGTTTGAGGTTTTTGGAACACTTTATCAGTGAGAACAAAGACATGAAACTGAAAATGGTCATAAGGTAAAGCTGCACAAATGATTTCATTACCTGCCAAAAATGTGGGAAGAAAGTTCTGAATCAGTTCAACCAAAACTTTCATTTTTCTTTTCTTCCTATGATTATTTGTGAGTATATTTTCTTGTATAAGCAGTTAACCTGATTATGCCTGCAGACACAAGTTTTGGAGAAATTAAAGACGTCTTACTGAAGAGTATTGAAATGCAACATAACTCGTAAATGGTAAATGGATTAAAATTCAGGGATTGGGAGTCACTCTTGACATATTTCCTTACCTTTAAGAATGGTAAGAAGTGAGAGCGTATTTGATTATCTAAAGACTGTTATATCACCTGTAGTGTATAAATTCAAATAGGTTTGAATGTTTATGACTAGGCAATGGGAAAATTGCGTAAAAATAACAGAGGCTAATTTTATAGACCCCAGCTATGAAAACAGAAACATGAAAAGCTGAAGATAGTAAAGCTTTTCATAGCATGAACACATAGCATTTTAAGAGCTTCTCTGAAATCAGCAGCACCATTTCTACACCAGCTTCAGTGCATACCACAGAAGACATTGCTGACATATGCAAGAGCTACACATATCTGCCAAGAAATACTCAACACCCGATTTCTGCCTCTAATTTTAGAGCCAGGGAGGGTGGCTGGATCAGTCCTTCTCCTTCAGCTTGTTGTACAATAAAGCTGCTGAAGTGATGTAGTAGGAGGAAAAGTTTGCTGTCTCAGAGCAGGTGTACTAGCAATGTGGGAGTGTTTTTCCGGTTGTTTTGGCATCTGTGCAGTAACTTCTTGGGCTATGTTCTTGTAGATTTTTTTGTTCCTTGTGAGAAACAGTTTGTTTTCCCTGTTGACATTTATCTATTGCAGACAGTTTGGTAAATTTAAAACAGAGACAGAAGTTGACGTAGAATTTGGGAAGATAAATCCTCCTACTACTCATAGGAGTGTGCTTTTTGTTTTTTTCAAGGTTATTTGTTAAACAATCTATATTCAGTTAGAAGTATAAAAACATATTTATGAAAGATTCTAAAAAGAAACATAGTAAAGACTCCTAAAACTCAACATAATGGGAACCAGTCATTAAAAATACAGAATTATGTGGCAATTATTCTCGACTCTAGTGTTACGCTTCCCAGGTGTCTCACATTGCAAGTGTTATCTTGAATTCTTAATCAGAGGGATAGTTTTAAGCTATTTTCATGGAGTTATAACAATCCCCTGTATAAAGCTTATCATGTACAATTAGTCTTTCTGGATTGTCCCTAGAGGCTAGATTTTAAAGCTAATGCTTTCAGCACATATGCTTCAAATACAGGGGTTTGGGAAGTAGGAAAGTGGAAGTGTTTTAAGTTTGGTTTCTGACTGTAAGTTTACATTATGGTATATATAACAAACATGGCAAAAAATAATCTTTGCAAAGTGTTTATCAACTATTTAATTAGGTCAGCTGCCACCCTTTGAGGCTGGTGATATACATAGCTTCAAAGGCTTTCATGCACAATACAGAAGGATTTCATCAGGTCAAGCTCCAGCAACTGTTACTGGCCTCAGTAGGTAATACAGGGACAGGCAGCTCCTCAGATCAAGTCAGTAGATACGTATCATTAATCCCATATTATTTTTGCTATTCCCTGCTAAAGATATATATGATACAAACATATGTGTGACATAACTGTGTGACTAAAGGCATACTCCACTTGTGCTCTAGATTATAGGAGTTTGCATGATGTAGTAATGTGATCCTTAATGAAGCTGATGCCTTTCCTCCTCTCCCTTTTATCTCTTATTCTCTTCTTTCTGCTCTTTTTCCCCCTCTTTTAACTCCTGGCCACTTTGAAAGTATCATCTAGGTAGTCACTTAGTCCCCTCCCACTTTCTTGCTGGCATTTATATAGTGAGTGCATAAAATCCTTTGTTTAGGATGTGAAACCTACAGCTGGTTGCAAACCAGTTCTGTTCCAAAAGAATGTGCTACCATGTCAAGGAAAGCATTGCTTGTAGAGTAAGGTATTAATTCGTCCACTGAATCCTGTTACTGTAGGAGTTTGTGGGGAAGAGAAGTAGGACTTCAGTTTTGTACAATATTCAGAAGAATTATGGCTGCTTCCTCATGTGTTGCCAAGGGCTGTTGTGTCCCAGAGATACAGAGTTGTTGTATCACAAACAGTAGCATTTTATCACATAAGGATGGGCAAAACCCAGCACAGAGAGTACTGTAGCCAGCAACCACCAGCAGTTCTGATCTCCAGCTCTCAGTATCTGCTGAGGACCTCAGTATTTGACGTTGTGGTTTTAAACCAGGTTATCTTATGATGCATGGACTTATTCCTTCCTTTTTTTTCTCCCCCAGGCTCTGAAGTCTTAGCCAGACTTTGATAAAGCAGCAGGACAGTAAATGCTGCGTTGTGTAGCGATCTGAATAGGTGCTACTTCTGTTAGGTAATCCATGGTAAAGGGGTTGTTCGTGCACTGTGCATTAGCACAGGTCTACTAGCACAGTAAACCAAATCCTGCAAATGTACTTGGTGATCTAGGACTGATCCACATCAAATCTCTCAAACCTTGACTTTTCATTATTTAACCTTTTTTCTGAGCTTACCCTTGGTGACTCCTTATTTTCTCCTTTGCTATTTGACCTGCATTCCCACACGCTGAGTAAACCTGTCCTAAGCATTCACTTCAGAGCACTCTTGAATGTGCTGCTCAGCTTGAAATCAGTTGAAATTGGTCTGTTTAGTGGCTGCAAAGAGCACAAATTATAATAATACCGATAATGTTATCTAAATGCCTTTGCAGTTTTTGAAAGTTACTGGGTTGTTGCTTTTCTTTAGATGCTTTACCCCTTTTCTAATGAATCTGCAGTGACTTTGGGGAGCTCCTTTTTAGAGAACAAAAAAATGAGTATTTTTGAAAATTGAATTCTTACACTTGGCCTTTGAACCACTTAGTCAGATGCAGACAGTGGAATCTGGCACCAAGGATAATCTTCTCCTGATATGGATATGGGGGGAATGGCAATGAGGGAGGAATGCAGCAACAGCTTAATATTTAACTATTTGAGGGCTGACAGAAACTACAGTGAGGTACAGAAGAATCTTTCCTGGTTACTCAGATAGATAAAGTCTCTAACAAATAGAACAAACTGCTCAATAAGACTATGAATTTCTGCTGCCATCAGGATTTGCTTGAGAAGATTGAAAAGCATAACTTAAAGCATAATATGAGATATCAGCAGACCAAGAACAAAACCCCTTATCATGGTTTGGCAGCTTTCCTTCTTAGCTACTAAAAGCTAAGAAGGAGCTAAAAAGGTTGGAATTAGGAGACTTTTCTCATAACAGCTATTAAAAAATTAAAGATTGGATTAAAACTTGATTCTTTCTGATCCCCTTTCAATAACTGAAAAGTCCTTAGTACAGTAAATACAGTTATGTGATTCTTGAACCTGTTGAAAAAAAGGGAAATGCTAAAAGCAAAGAATGTGAGGAGGTTTTTATTCAATGATACCATTAGAGTAGCATCATTTTACAATAGTATTTTATTTGTCTTCTATTAAAGAAGATATTTATGAAATAAATAATACATCTAATAAAATGTATTTGTCTTAATATTTAACCATTTAAGATGATAGGTACTTTGCTCCTATTTGTAATCTGGACCTAAACCATAAGATCTAGGAGTCATACAAATGACACCTTCTGTCAATCTTGCAGCTAGATCTGATACTCAAGCTTCTGTAGACTACTTATTTTAGCTGTGTTACCTTGGAACTCAGTTGGCACTTTCACACCTCCTGAATAGCTGCTCATAGAAAAGCACACAGGTTACTTTTCGGAAAATCTTCTGGAAAGATAAGTCATAAGATGTTTGGTTTAGGTAAAGTTAATGAGCCTTGTAACTGCCTGAGAAATGGTAAATTGGACAGCAGAGTGGTCGCACGCTAGCACATCTCCCCTTATGTGCAAATGGTACTGTAAAGGGTGAGTCAGTCCACAAAAGCCCTTCCTGAAATAATTCCCACTGCAGAATTAGAGCCTGTGGAGTTTTAGGCAACATATCCTGGACGCTGCGGGTGTCCAGATAAAATGGGTGAAGTGTAACTCTGTTGCCCTTTTTTTTTAGCCTAGCATATCTCAGTGTCTTCCTTGGAGGAACACAGGATGTATTCTTGTTTACCAAGTCTGACTGACCTCTGGACTACCCTTCCTTTTAGCTATTTTCTGTTAGTTCCATGTGACATCTCATCCCTTGTGGGATTTTTTTTTTGGAAAGTGAAATTTAAAAACTTTTAATTGTAACTATTCAGAAATCTTTGTCCTTTTTTTTGGTTGTTTTTAACAAATGGGAAGCTTGTCATGATTCTTGCGTGGAATGGAATTGCGTAAGAACACAGTGATTGTTGTAAGGCAGAACACTGCATTCTTAATAGTTAATTAATAATAATTATTACTAACATGAAGCTGCACTGCACATTTTGTTCTGGGTTTGTAACACCAAAACAGTGCTTATTCTGTATTTGCAAATAACCTGACACATACACACTGTCTCTTATACCCCCAAACTGAGCAATTAGCAAGGAAATGAAACAAGAAAGTCCTACTGTTTTCCCAAAGGATTAAGAAACTGAAAAGAAAGCAGTCTTATGCAGTTATTAAGTGTTCTCCCCCCCGCATTCATGTGTCTGCGAAGAATTTAGCTCATGAACTTTGAGAATATGGTAGTGTTGATGTGTTGGCTCACTCAAAGCTTATAAAATTCTCCAAGAAAAAGAGGCCAAGTTTATATTTAACAAGCTTTATCAAACCATTGAAGTTAAGTGAAAAGCACACTGATATGCTATATAAAGTACACAGAAACGGCTTGGAAAGCTTGCAGAAAATAATTGAGCCAAATACTCTCTCCCACGATAGCCACTCAACATATTAGTTATTGCAGCAAAAAAGAAGTGTGCACATGAGTTGTATGTAGAGTCCTGCATCTCTCATGGTAATTCTTGTTTCGTATCGAGCGCACATTCCTTTAATTGGGTCCGAGCACTGGAAATGAGTGCTTTAAAGCTTTGCAACACATTCTTCAAGAAGTTCATAACAACAGTGTTTGGGGAGGAATTTAGGGAAAAGTTTTGAAGAAATATTTTTTGTGGAGCTTTAATTATAGGCAAATGTATCAGCTTTCATTTGGAGAATGCTGGTGTGTGTGCATGGATGTATAAAATAGCAGTGTATTAGAAATGAAGATAGTGTTTGTGCATGAAGGTACTGCACACGTGTAAGGTTTCTTCATGTTGATTTCAAAATTCTAATCCTTTAAGCAAAAACAAAACCAAATCACATTAAAAAAGCAGCAAAAATACTATTGCAAACAATTAACAGGCCGTTACTACCCAAGCCAGCCTGAAGTCCTTGAGGCTGTGTGAGCATCAATATCCTAGACTGCAAACAGACATAATCCAAAATCCACAAAGGATTAAAAAAGGAGATGTACTGATTCTTAAAACTACTATAATATTAAGGTGTTAAACGGTTTCCTACAGACTTCAAGCATTTTATTTATTTAATTATACAAAATTTCCATCCAAGCTCTGTAGCCTGTAGTATTACTTTTAAAATACATTAGCATTTAGTCAACCTTTTTATCAGGCTGCTTATTTTGTCCTAATTCCAGAAAGCAAGAAGGTCCTCAATTCTTATTTTTTGCTTTCCTCTGTCTCCTACCTGTTAGAAGAGCTCTTGCAGTGGTGGTATTTCATGTTCTCCTGGTGCAAAAGAAGCTCCTTCTTACCTTTGATTTGATTTCCTGAAAACAAGTCTTTTATTTCAGCTTGGAATTGTAAATCATCTCAATTCTTGTTCTCACTTGCCTAAGGAGCCTATAAAGACATGAAGAGACTTAGTTTAGCAATGCAAACGGAAAATGTGTCAAGTTTTTAATATATATGTCACTTACAAATACTGTAGGTGCCAGAGGTGTTCGTAACATCTAAGGACATGCCTCAATTACTACGGTTGTTAATTATGCACTAGACCTGCCTCTAAAAGAGGAATTTCCAAGACAGCTCTATCCAGTGCTATCTGTTTGTCTCTAGTTGACAGCTGTCCATCAGGCATGACATCAGTTTGTTGTTTCTGGAGACGTAGCCTGATACAGGGTCTTCAGAAGTAAGTGGAAGTCTTTGCAATCATCTGACTTTGGCAGCCATTGTTCCCAGAAAGACCTCTTAAATTTCAGGCTGTCCTGGCTGCTGAATGCTGGGCTTGTTAACCATGGAGAGGTTCCTTCTCCTAGAAGCTTGAGAACAGCAGCTGAAGAGGCTGTGCTGGAAAGCACAAAGAATGATTACAGTTGAATTCCAGCTTCCACTACAGCCCCTCCTCCTCAGCTCTCAGTGCAATCCTGACCAGGATTTAGGGAGCTCTAATTCTTCGCAGCTAGATGGGTGTACCTTCAGCGGTGTACATGTGGGCCCCTCTAAGTACAGGCCTTTTGTTGAGATTCTCCTGTAAACATCTGTGGAAGGTGAGTGGATCAGAAGTTTGAATAAGGCCTTTAGTATGGCTTTATTTTATTGAGAAATCACTATATTTAAAGGAGCATTTGCAGAGGAATAGTGTGCTTCAAGGTTAAAAAGCTTTTTCCTTTCTTCTTCTTTTTTCCCCCGTTAAAAAGCAGCTCTCATTTGAAGAGCCTTTAGCCGGTTTGGAATCACCTTTAACAGTGCCAAGGTAAATGTTAGAATGTATATCATAAATCACACAGGCAGAAAGTTTATGAATCTTCATGTCAAATATAATTAAATATATTGAATTCTCCATGAGAAGCACAATGCCCAGAGCTGCTCTGCTGTTTTTTATTGAAGATAAGGCAGTAGGTTACTAACGTCCTTTATCTCATTCATTTCTGAAAACCTACTTTTCTCACAGTTCCACGCCAGCCTGGAGTGAGCAATAATCTGTTTGAAATACTTGAAATTGAAAGAGGTATTACTGCCGATGAATTTGAAGCAAACGATGACCCAGGTAAAGATCATGTCTTGTGTTCAGGGCCTAGGGTTTAGGATTTGTTGAGGTTTCTTGGGGTTTTGTATGATTTTACAGGACTCCCACGTCTTATGCCACTTGTTTAAACTATGCTTTAATAAAAAGAAAAAACCCACCATGTACATGAACCTTTGTAGTTTTATTTCCTAACAGATTTAGCACAAAAATAGTGTGAATTGTTAATAACAACACTAACATCCTTTTTACTGTTTTAGTTTTATTTCTGCTGCATTTAATTTTCATTGCTGGTGTCAACCACAAATGAAATTGCTGTAGTTCCCCAAGCAAAACAGTCCAAATCGTTGTGTTTTGGGGATTTTTAGGGTGTTTTTGACTCATTTCTCTGTTGTGCCTAGGTGTGCTGATACACAGCTGTAATTTTGACAGCGGACTGTGTGGATGGATCAGGGATAAAGAGGATGATTTGCACTGGGAGCCAGTGAGAGATGCGTCAGGTAAGATATCTTTGTACAATCACATCCTGTAGTGAAGAACCACCTAGGCTTGGGCTGATGGCAACTCTCGCATTATGATGAGTTCACACAGCTTCTGTTCCCTTTAATTCTAGGACATATTTCACATTCCCACCTCTTCTGTGTGTGAAAATCGGAACTGAGGATTCCCAACATGAAAGAGTAATTGAGAATTTACACTTTTATCATACCTGGTATCTTCACAACAGAAATGCCTCTGAAGGAATAGAAAATGTATTCAGTAAGAGGTTTTCTGTCTTAAAAGAATCAAAAAGAACAAAAATGTGGACTAGAGAACAACTTTTATTTACGGTGAAACAAAGCTTATTTTTCAAACCACCACGCAAACAGAATTATTTCCGTATTACGAACAAAATCCCAGAATGTGCTGGGAATAGTCTTTGTTCTGCTGCCAAATATAATGTTCTACTTCAACCTCTCAGTTTGATTTTATTGAATTTTACTCCAAGTTACAACAACATGTATATAGGAAAACCGTTGAGTAACTGGAATGAAGACAAGTTAGGTGCTAACATGCAGAGACTGGGTATGTTTGGGATGGTAAAAAGGGACCTTGCAATGAATATCAGAGGGAGTGCGTACTTGCCACTTGCAGTATAGGTGAAGCCAAAGCAGCAACCACTTGTAATCACTCACCTCTGCCATTGTAGCTGAGCAGAACTGCACACCTGCACTGCTGGAAGCTGGTTGTACTTTGTCCCCTGCTGATTTTACTGTATGGCACTGAGAGGTTGGTTGTCCCTGCCTGTGAACCCTCCCCCCAGCAGAGCTTGCCCCATAGTGCTGGGGATTAGACACACATCTCTGGCTCCCCATAATGATGGGATTACTTCATACCCAGAAGAGCAGCCTTTGAAGTGCACAATGCTTACATTATGCGAGGGGATGGCGGACTTCGGAAGGAAACGTGCTCTCAGGCGGTAAAACGTTACAGGTTAAGTTGAGGGAGGGTGAGGGCACTGAGAGCCATTTCCTTACGCAGCACCTCATCACAGATGTCTGCCTTACAGTGCCCTTGATGGCAGTCATTTGCCACCGCAGCAGGTGACCTGGCACCTTTTCCAGGCTGTTTAGCTGGCTAAGTGGGAGTGCTGTCTTCACTGACTGGGCAGGCCCCCGCCCCATCACAGGCATGCTCTAGTGTCTCCTGTGCTGCTTACAACACTTATAAAGTCTCAGGAATGGCTCAGAGAGCAGAGCTCCTTCCTCCTGCAGATGAGAGAACAGGCAGCTGTCTCCTGCGTGCAGGCTGGCATTTGTAAAGATCACATGTAATCCAAACATCTTCTTGGTAAATGGATTTAAAACCACTTCGAGAAGGTCACTCAAAGCATATACATTACCTGTGCTCAAAAGTTGCTGTTAATACAGTCCCAGAAGTATGATTTTTAACTGGCTTTTTTTTTAGCCTTTTTTTTTTTTTTTCCCTCCTGCGCTGCTTCCCAGCCAGGGACAATCCCAGCTTTTTGTTTCCTGTGTATGTTCTGCTGCTGTTGACATAACCTGTTAAAACTAGTCCCTTGAAGTCACCCACCCACACCCTCCTGTCCGCAATACCTTGTTGCAAGGATTTATTTTCACAGCTTGTTCCTGAGTGTTTGCTTTCACCTTTCAAAGTTTGCTATTTATTGGTTTATCAGAATGCATTTTGAAAGGTGCCATGTTGAATGAAGCCTTACAAGCTTATCTTGCATGCAGAAAATGCTGATGTGAGGGGACCTTTTCCTGCAGGCGTATGTTGGCTTTGTGCTTACCTAAATCTGTTTCCCATTGATTGGGTTTGGTCACTGTAACTATCTGAAACAGATGCAGTTAATGAGTTAAGGCAGTAGTTTTGTAGTGATAGAATAGTATCTACAACAAACAGGTGCAGTTATTTAAACTCTATTATGCTTATTTAGCAGTTAGTGACCTTGAGGCAAAACCAATGCATATTAAAAATACCCACAAAAAACAACCCACCACCAAAAACTGTAACAGCTCCTTGGGCAAATGGATCCCATTTCATGCCCAAATACAGATCTGGGGGCTCAGACAGCACTATAATACTTTGCTTTATTAAATCTCACAAAGACTGAAGAACTTAAAACCCTATGTAGTAGTAGGGAATTGGAGACAAGGTTGGCTCTCCTTTTCGGTGTGCAACAAGCCCTTGGTTCAGTGTCATTAAATCACACCTGAGGTGTGAGGTGGCTTTCAAAAAGAAGTTTTCAAAACCATAAAGCTCTGGTTGAGTAGTAGCAGGGTGACAATTTAAATGAAAAATATTTTTCTATCCTATAATTAAGACTGTGTATAGCAATACTATTACAGCCCCCCCCAGGATTTCTATGTCATTAGTTTCAACTAAGGAGCCTAACTGCAAACTTTAACTTAAGTTCATTAACCTTAGGTTTGTTGGATGCTGCCATTCCTAGGATCTTCTAATTTTCATGTTCATGTTCTAGGTGTTTTTATGAAGGCATCTTTATTTCATACATGATCAGAGATAATAATATAGTTTTGAATAAGTATGGATGTTCCGTGACAACTTACTGTTAGAGAAGACTTCAGGGAGTGTATCAAGTTAACAGCCATTTGGAAATCAGTGTTATTTCTATCTTTCTGTACGTAATCCAGATTAGGAGTTTAAATTATGGTTAAACAAAAAAGCTATCTGTGTTTGCAAATGGATATGCTTTGAGACTTAACTTGTTAATACACTTCCCAAAAAAAGGGACAGAACCATAGCTCAATTACATGGTATCCTTTATGCTGGCTGCCTCATTCATCTATCCCGTAGCAAAAAACTGCAGTTTACAAGGTGCGTAAAAGTTCACAGTAGCTTTAATGTCACTGTGGGTTTGAAACCATGCAGTCACCAAGTTGTTGTCAGAAGTGAAGTTTCCATTTTCAAAAGAGGTTTTACTTGCTTTGCAAAACAGAAATTAGATTGGTAAGACCTAACCTGATACTAATGTAAACGGAAGAGCAGCTCTGTAAAAGCCTTACCCTGCAGAAGGCAGGTGCATCACTTCTGGTTCGTGTTCCAGAAACTCTCTGCCTGTTTAAGGCTCACTGGACCTTGTGGAGCCCTTTTTCAATGTTTTGCTTTTTTTAGTGACTCTTGTGCATTTGGTCCCGCAACACAGTAGAATTAAAACCCTCCACTCACCACAGCTAACTGCTTTTTCTTTTGCAGGGGGGCAGTACCTTACCATCTCTGACCCCAAAGGCAAAGAAGGAAGAGTAGCGCGTCTTATCCTGCCATTGGGACACATGGCTCAGACCAGCGACTTGTGCCTGTCGTTCCGGCATAAAGTGTCTGGGCTGCATTCTGGCACCCTCCAAGTCTTTGTAAGGAAAAACGGTGCTCACGGACCAGCTGTCTGGGGAAGGAATGGTGGCCATGGCTGGAGACAGACACACATAACTTTACGAGGACAAGGCATCAAGAGCGTGAGTACCAATGCAGGAGCTGCCTTTTGATTTTTTACGTGAGAAGCTGAAGACACTTAAGATGGGTGTAGCACTTGACTGTTTGTCTTCTGGATCCAATTTCAGCCTTTAATCCCTGCCAATGTAATCACATGAAGCATAAGAGAGTCGTGCATTTTTCAAATAAGCTTTATGCAGAAAAAAAATGTCCTACCTGTAGCAATAGACATATGGGAAATGACAAATTATCTGTATTGATCTACCTCATGAAGTTGGTTTTAAGGTATTTGCCATGTAGGGAAGAGCAGTCTAAGGATAATGGCCTGGATTAATGTTCCTCATGAACAATGCTTTAAATAATGCAGCACCATGAAACAGGAAAAATCATCCCCTGTGGAGTTGTAACTGGCCAAACCAGGGCAAAGATACTGAAAATGTCAATTTTGATAATGCTGGGAGGTTACATGTGCAATCTCCCAGTTTTTTGCTCTTCAATATACCTGCAGCAATCAAATGAAGCTGTCTCTTGTGTGTGTCTTATATCATGGAGAATCTTATAATACATGGAAAGCTTAGAAACACTGGGCGATAAACCAATATCAAAACCTTAGCATTTTTCTTCAACCTCTGCTCAGTTTTGAAGGTAGTTTCTATTTCAGATCTGAAGAAGGGACTTGGGTGCTTCAGGAACTGGTTTGCTCTGACTTATATATGAGGTGCTCTAAAAAGCTCACACATCATAATGTTCACTGTAGGAGCAGGCTACAACACACACTATTTAGCTCCAGAATTTATATTAGGGCTGTAATTACCACAGATAATTTTCTAAAAACTTCACCTTAGCAATCATTACAAAGAAACAGAAAAACCAGGCAAAATTCTAAGCAAAATGAATGGGCTTTTGTGAGTCAGTTCTGATTGCCTGGGCTTCCTTGCTGTTGAGACTTATCTTGACCAAAGCTACTTTCATTTTAATTTATTTTTGCATTCAAATCGTTCTATTTCTCTTCCCAGGTTATCTTCAAAGGGGAGAAAGGGGGAGGAAGAATTGGGGATATTGGACTAGATGATGTGGTCTTGAGGAGAGGACGCTGCTCTGAAGATCATTAGCAAAGACAATGGACCAGTAGTCGTTCTCCTCTAGCCCTTCTTGTGCTATTCCTACCAGGCTTTGAAACAGAACTGCATGAAAGAGAAGAAAAAGTTGAAGAGTTGACAATTTCACAGTGGTCTGCTAAGTGCAGTCTCACTGAAAAACATGGAGAAGCATCTCCCAGGATTCAGGAACTCCATTCCCATCTGGTTGTTTCTATTAATCCTTACCCCTAAATCATATTTTATATGTAATAACTTTATCACCTGTTAAGCCTGGTGAGCACTCACGCAAAGAGCACTTGTGAAAAAGGGAGAATTACAAATGGTGGTGAAAGAAAGCTCCTGCTCAGCAAGTTTTAGTGTTAACTGATAGTCTTTATCTTCCCTCAGTGCTGCTCTTTCATTGATTAGATTTGGCACAGTGGGATTGATCTAGCTTCGGAGTTACCTCAGATTAATGGGGGCTTGGACCTGTACTTTGGCTTACTGCCACCGACCTTTGAAGAAGGGTTTGCTTCATATTTAATAGCATATATTTTGGTGTTGCATCGGTATTAACAAGAACCGGTTATAGAGAGTAGGCTCTGCGTCCTGTAATATTGCTACTGCTGTGTTTTGTGTATATGTGTATGGTCAAAACATATTTATGGTTTTAATATTTACAGACTCTAGTTGCAAGGTAATTGGCAGCTGTGCTTTCTTATTGTACAAGACGGGAGTTCAGCATGTTCTTTGATCCCACTGGTCATGCCAATAGTTACGTTACCAAAGTCAGTTAATGGTGCTCATTGAAAAACGCTGGTGCAGTTTTTCATGTAATATGCTGAAGGCAAAAAGACCAAACCCTTAGGTGTAAACCAGCATCTGATTAATGCTGTACAGGTTTGCATTTAGCTCAGTGGCAAGTCACAAAGGGCTCTCAAGCCTGCAAGAAACTCCTGGCTCAGTTGAAAACTGAGCAGCCTGGAGAAGATAATGTGCTGCGGCTTATAAGTCCTCGCCTGTTGACCCCACCAGAAATGTTCCTTTCCCATAGGTGACACAAGCCAAAAGGGCAGCCACATTAACAAACACTCCGTGAACAATTCAGACCATGAAATGCCTTCAGTGATCTTTGTTAAACATCCGTATTCCACCCAACCCTTCTGTACATAATAAACACTTTAGAACTAGAATAGTTATTATACCTAGCTGGGACTAAATATTTACCAGAACTTTGGACTAATTTTTTAGTTATGTATCATGCATGTGGTGTGCAGTTTCCCAGGGTATTCCGCTGTTTGGTTTGGGATATTTTTAAATGAGGATCATCACTATCAATCATTGCTGCTAACAATTGAAATTTGACAAAGTAATTGTAACATTGAAGAAAATGATGAAAGATTGATAAAATGTTGTTTAGTGGTGCAGCCTTAAAGCTTCAGAACTAGGTGATCTTAAGGTCCTTCCCAACCCTAACTATTCTGTGATTCATAATGTATATATAGAAGGAATGAGTCTCAAATCTTTTAAATACTTAAATACTATATAAAGTAAATACCACTTTCATATCATGTTTTAAAATCATAATGAATAAATATTCATGTTAAGCCTTGCACAAAGTCCACAGAGACAAAACTGCAAGACTGTTAGAGGTTGTATTCCCAGCGCCTAAGTACTGTTCTGAAAGGAATACTGCAGTTTGTCCCCTAGGACAAAGCACGGTATGTACAGCAGAAGTTTCTTTGACCAAACAGCCTGCAACAGTGTACCAGCAAACATTTTGAAAAGGAAAAAAACAATACATCTGTAAACATTTTTGAACTGGTTTGCTTCAAATAAGATTGATTGTGATCTTTTTCTTATGTTACTTTGTAATATGTCAGAAATATTTGTGAATAGTTGAAATACCTTGTTCTTATTATAAAGTAATCAGTAAAGGAGGCTGTTACTTGTTACTAACTGGCAATCTTGTTTTCGTTTCTGGATCAGAACTCTCGTTTTTACTGCAGTGAAATGAACCAACAGACGACAAGTAGCTCTTGTTACCAGATTTAAAAATAAAAGTGTATTTCACTGTTTTCACTGTAATACAACAAAAGCATTATATGTAGTATTATAAGTATTATCCAAGAGGAAGAATGACAAATTTCAACCTACCTTTTTTTTAGGAACAGTCTCACAAGTAATTTAAGAGCTTCTGCAATACAGATTTTCCATTTTAGAAGAAGCAGCAGCTATCATAGTTCCACACACTGCTCCACAAACTGTTCCATTCTTTGGCATCTATCACGCTTCACGGGTTTTTTGCTGCTTTAGAAATAGCCCTTAGAATCACAAATTTGAATGAATTCAGAAGTTGAACAGAAATAAGTGCTCAGCTGACACGGGGAGGACTTGGGGTCTCTGTTCTACTTCATCCTTATGGTCAAAAAGTAACACCGTAAATCCTTGTGACCACTGAAGCCTCTGCTGACAGTGATCAGCCCGAGTCTGGCTCTCCAGGAGCCGCTCTGGCTGTAAGTCACTCACCTCTGCAGCTGGTTGTGCCTTGGTGCTCTATGTGTCACCTTCTTTCAATGTCTCTGAAGAGTCAAGGCCAGGTCACGTCAGTGGTTCTGCTGTGATGATCCTTCTCCAGCTCCTGCTGCTCCTGCCCTTCCAGGCAGCTTCATCCAGCCACACAGTTCAGCCAGGACAGAGCAGACAAACTGCTGTCTTTGTGTGAGCCCCAGGGAAGAGATGGGAATATGGCCCGGGGTCTTCCTGCGATGTAGGTTCTAACTGCCCTTCCTGCTTTGGGTTTTCTAAATAGGTGATTACGCCAAAATAAATTCCTGCTTAAATACTTAGGCAAGCAGAAGAAATTACAGTAAATTAGCATGAAACTGCTTATGAAATGTACTGTATAGCCTCTTGCTATCTTAGAATTTAATGTTTTTAATGACATGTTAAACTTTTATCCCATCCCCCCCCCCCCCCCCCCAAACCTTAAAATAGCATTCCTTCATAAGTTACAAGTACCATGACCAGCAGCAGTGTGTGCACTTACTGCATTTGCTGACATCAATGCGAGTTCAATGGAAGGGACCAATACAAACTTTTGTTTCCACCAGAGCCGTGTCATTGAGTCTCCAGTGAGTACTTTCAATAGAGCCTGCTCATTCTGGAGAAAAGCTGCCCTAGGTTTCCTTCAATAAATAAACTGCATTGCACTTGGAGGCCACAGCATTCGTTTTAACATAGTTGAAGACTGCAATAACCACCCTAATGAGAATCAGATTAATCATGAGAAGACAAGCCTAAGCAGAAGAATGTTCATGACAGCAGCCACAGCCATCCTACACTATCCCATGGAGAAAAGATGCAACAGCAGCACCTGCCTCTAATGCAAGTGCCAGGCCTCTCTATACACACCCCATTACAGGCTAAGCCTCCCTGAAAATGAGGCACAGTAACTGTCACAAAGACACTGCAAGATATGCAACAAGATGCACTACAGCTGTCTATCTTCAGAGTTTAATTGTGACTGTGAGAGTCGCTCATTGTCAACTGAGCCCAGTTAAATCCTATTCCATTTTAACTTATTTTGATCTATACCTCAAACACCAAATTTGTCAAAGGTGTTCTGGTAGTTTAAATACTTTCTTCCTTGCTGTGCATCCTGGTGCCCTGTAGTCATGTAAGGTTTATGACTTCAGATTTTCCACACCGATAAAATGGAGGTAAGTGATACATTGGTGTACACCTGCAATTTCAGAATGAAATGCAAGATATTCCAGTGGCAAGTTCCACTAGTGGTTTGAAAGAACACAGAAAGCTCTTCAAGCTTTGAAAGTTAAAGCATTCTCAGAGCACACCCGTATCAGGCTGACCCAGTGGAAAGTGAGGGAATGCATCTGCAATGTCTGGAATGCTTTATTTGGTTGAGAGGAAGAAGCCAATGGACTGAAGATCTTCGCAGACCGCAAAGACTACTTTAACAGCACAGCCTAAAGCACCTATAGAGTTCAGACAGGAGCTCCATGTAGGTTTTCAAGACTGTAAAGCCGAAATTAATCTAATCCCATTCTAGCTGCTCTGCTTTAATCCATTCTCCTTATGCACTTGTATGACCTCTTCCAAGCCCAAACCTTTTTCATTGTTTTGAAACAAATTGTCCTTTAGTCAGTGCTCTTGCTGGTTGCTTTGGGCTGAGACAGCCTACTCTTTGGAAATAAATGATTTCTTCTTTATTTCTTTCTCTTCTTAAACTTGACAATCAGCCTGGGTAGCATTACTTACATCAAGATAGTTGCTGCAGTTACTGGATGTGAGTGTTCACTGGACTGTTCATGTTAGGTTGCCCTTTTTCTCCTAAGGAATCTCTAATTTAACTCCAGAGAGTCAAATGGGATATTATGCTTACACATGCTCAATACACATCCAAAGTATAGATCTATCTACAGAAATAATTCCCTGCTCTATAGATCAGGTTCTCCATCACTCTTTTTCTTCAGGTTACTTCTCAATAGCTCTTAAGAGTCAATCAATTCTTTCTTCAGCTTCATTCTGTAGTACATGGGCAGATTTTTGCCACTTAACTGTTTTCCTGTAATCCAGCTGTTAAAGGACTCCACCAGACCAAGGAAAAAGCCACACTGCAACCAAACCGTTCTCTGCCGGTATCTCAGACACCACATCTCTAGAGCAAAAGGGCCATGCCTACAGCCTCTCTGTGCTCGGCGTACCAGGAAACAAGGTGTATAAATGCATATACTGTCTGTGTGTGCATACACGTGTATTGTGCCCAATAGGCTGAGGCGAGTCTTATGTGTTTGAGCAAGGAAGCCAAGTATTTATCTAGGACATGGAATAAGGATTCTCCTCTCTCTGTGACACAGCGGAATCCTGCCTTCCTCTGACCACAAGATACTGCAGCACTTCTCCAGTAATATATGTTAACCTACTTGATATTTTACCTTCGGGCCAGGCCAGGAATAATCACCCTCCACACTCTTCTCCCGGGTTTTTCCTTGTACATTTCAACAGCCCACGTTCTCATTCCAGACTCTCATCCAGAATCCTTTTGATACTCATTTTGAGTTTGACAAAACACTGGAAAGCGTGTACTCAGAGAATGAGTTCATTGCGTTTGCATGCAACACCAGTGCCGAAGTTTGAGATTGCCACTTACGTGGGATTTCAGGGAGATATCATCATTGCTCTGGTACCCTGGCAGAAGGGGGAGCCCAGCCACAGCTCCATTTCACACGTCCATGAGAGATGCGCCCTCCTGCCACACTGCAGTCC